ACTTCCAGAAGGCCTGAGCGACATTTTTTCTCACTAAATTGGTCCCAACTGTTGAAAATGAAAATGTGATTGGTTGATTCCACTCTCAATTGCTATTTATGTTGGTGGTTGATGTAACATGTTAGGCCTTCAGTCCAGCTCCTGAAGTCCTAATCAATGGGAGAGCTTGCTTGGCTGTATCCACCTAGATACCATGGAGAAAAACTTTCAGCACATTATGGGACAGTTTTTTTCATGTAATTGTTAATGAAAGCACTCTAAACTGAGAGTGCAAATTGGACCTGAGATTAGCAGGTGCATCAAGAATGACATGATTGTGGAGCATCCTGCACTCAAACATTCCAAATTCCTGCCCTGTCCAGATGAGCATAAGTAGTAGCCAGTAAAGGAGAAAAGAATTTTCAGTGGAGCAATACAATGGGGGCAAATCAAGTAGACTTAATTATAAATGATTAGAGTCTCCAAGTGATTTCATCTTGTGCTTCCTGCTGTGTTTCACATCCCATTTTTCCGAGCAGCTATTCAATGATATCCTGTTGTGCTGTCTGTACCTAATAGGTACTCAGATGATTGTGCAAGGCCTATGACTAATGCCATTCAGATTCATCATACTTTTCAATACGTGTTGCTGCCTCTATCAAGAACACATGGGCAGCTACCCTCTGCATTTGCATCAGCTTGCAAAGGAAATGACGGCCAATTAATGCTCTGGCTCCACAGAGCCTACTACAGTACTATATTTCCCTGTTTTCAAGGGCTTCATTGTTTAGGGGCATGTTTTAACATGAGAGTATGGTTTTATTCCCAGTCAAAACCCTCTTTCACATCTTTAATTACTCCACCATGACAAAACCAAAGGTGTTTTCCTTTTCTTTTTTATGAAAAAGGGGCTTGATAGGTTAATGAAATTACAGAATACATTAAGTAAACTGTGAAATATAAAAATATTTTGAACAATAATATGGAAAACGAGCATGAAATAAGCATTTATTCAAGCTCTGTTTCATTTTGGCATTTTTTAAGTTTCAGCAAACCCTCTCTCTCTAGTTTATTTATGCACGTTGGGGACTTGAGCTCAACATATTTACTTTAATATGTAGACACAGATGTGTTGGACCAGCTGAAAAGCTCTCTGTCATGTGAGAAAACTGAAAACATACTGATTTACCAAAGGGACGCTTGTACTGATAGTGAAGGCTTTGGTGGAAAAAAAATGTGTTTTGCAGGAAAGAGGAGGAGAAGCTCAGGAAGGAAGGAGGAATTCTGTTTTTTTTAGCCTGTCTTGCACAGTTGACTAGATTTTTGGTGTCCTCTTTTACAACGTAAATGTTGAATGCTGATTTTAGAAACCAGTGGCTGCATGAAATTTATTAAACCTATTATAATGTATAGAAGAAACAAAGGGGTTCCTCAAGGCTCTATTTGAGGACCATTAAGTTTTCATTTAGTAGGGAGATGTACTTTTTCCTTTTTTTTTTCTTTACATATTGTGGACAATTACAATTAAGTTAGTAAACTTTTTGATGAAAGGCGATGAACCTGCATGATTGTGTGTAAAGCTGTTTAGGCCTTCTCGCTAAGCTAACTCTAGCTTCCAGCGCTTACAAGCATATTAAAGCAAAAGTAGCTTAAGCTAACAGCTCCACACACAAACACACACAGGTTTGCCCCCCTCAGATTTGAGTCTTTATTCTCAAAGCATGCTTCAGTGAAGCTCCAGGGGGCTGGAATGAAGCTGTGTTGTAGCATGGTGAAGCTACTACAGAGCTCCTAAGGAGGAACCATACTTGTGGAGGTACTCACTTTTTTTCTAATCTCTTGGGAGCTAACAAAGTATGCAGAGAAATAGATGGACTACAGTCTGTAATTGTAGAACCACAAAGTGCACCTGTATGGCAAGTGGAGCTGATAAAATGGACAATGAGTGTAGGAACAAGTAGATGATTTTGATGGCTGCTCGGTGTATGATTTATATAAGGTATAAATGTTCTTATAAATAAATGCTTTTATTTTGTCTTTTTTTTCTCATTGTTTTACCTTATGTAAGTACATGCCCCATATGTGATCTTGGAAATCAGGTTTTGAAAAGAAGCCACTATGTTTATTATAATTACTTTAAAATAGTTCATTGTTTTATCTATTGCCCCTCCTCACACCTGTCTGTCTCTAGGCATCTGAATGGTCAGTGTCGGCTCCTGCTCTCTGCAGTTGTGCCTGGTCACTCTCCCTGTCTCTTCTCTGACGCAGTGGGGGTGGTCAGACAGCGCTTCTCTCATTAACAGCTCCTCATCACCTCTGAACTGACCGTGCCCCTCTGCGCAGGTCAAATGGTTAAGAGTGTGTGTGAGGGTGTGTGAGATTTACGGTCACAGGGCCGTCGTCTTCAAAAACACACGGGACAGGGAGAGAGGTGCGGTAGCAGCCGGCAGCCGACAGCTGTTTTTATGGTCACGGCCATAAAAAAAGAGGACGCCTCTGTAGATGAACAAGAGGAAGGGTGGAACAATGAGGGGAGAGAGAGAGAGAGAGAGAGGGAGAGAGAGAGAGAGAGAGAGAGAGAGAGAGAGAGAGAGAGAGAGAAAGAAAGACAAGAGAAGACATAAAGAAGACATAAAGAGCATGTGAGAGAGAAAGAATGAGAGAGATAAATAAGAAAGATGCTCTGGAGATGAGCAAGAGGAAGTGTGGAACACTGAGGAGAGAAGAAAGAAAGAGAAAGAGAAAGAGAGGAAATAGAGAGAAAGGAGAGGGAGATAGGAGAAGAAAGAGGGAGAGAGAGATAGTAAGAGAGATATAAGTAAGAGAGAGGCCTCTGGAGATGAGCAAGAGGAAGGGTGGAACAAAGGGAGAGAGACAGGAGAAGAGAGAGAGAGAGAAAGAGAGAGAGAGAGAGAAAGAGAGAGAGAGAGAGAAAGAACAAAGAATTGAGAAAAAGAGAGAGAGAAGTGAGACAGAAGAGAAGAAAGAGCGAGAAGTGAGAAAGAGTGAAAAGAAGAAAGAGAGAGAAGAGAGAAGTGAGAGAGACAGAGAAGAGAAGAAAGAGAAGTGAGAGAGACGGGAAAGAGAAGTGAGAGAGACAGAGTGAGAAGAGAAGAAAGAGAGAGGGAGAGAAGTGAGAGACAGAGAGAGAGAAGAGAAAAAAGAAGTGAAAAGGAGTAGGGAAGAGAGAGGGGGGGTATAGAAGTAAGAGAGGCCTCTGGAGATGAGCAAGAGGAAGGGTGGAGCAGAGAGAGAGAGAGAGAGAGAGAGAGAGAGAGAGAGAAAAGAAAAGGTCAGGACAGGACTTCAGAAAGAAACACAGGAAAGGTAGAGTGAGGCAGTGGATAAAGTAGAGGGACTGAACCACAACACACAAACAGACAAAAAGTAGTGCAGAGATCAGGAGGGAAAGAGAAGTTAAAGGGAGATTACGTTGATTTTTTTTTTTCAAATTCTCTGCTGTACAGAGACTAACTCAGAGAATTGGTCATAGTGGTGCTGATAGGAACCAGAAGCATGAAGAGTTTATGGAAATACTGCATGTTTTAGTTTTGAGAAAGTTTTGGCCTAAAATATACTTTTAAAAATCAATTTATGGTGGAGAGGTACACGTAGGGTGTTGTGAGGCATAATATTCCCACTATTACCACTATTTATTATTCTCAATTTTATATCATCACATGTACCAACTCAGAAGATGCGTGTAGGGTCACTGGTCTACTTGGACAGCAAATAAAATGTATCTGATGTATATCTGCGTTACAGCCATTACAACCCCTGGTTCCAATCAACACCACTGTAAAGGAGTCAATATATAATGAACCAATTCATATCAAACCACTCTGAATAACTGTGCATCTCAGTGACTGAGGTATGTAGAAATTTTGAAAAATTGGTGGAATTCCTCTTTAAATGAGTGAAGTTAATGAACAGAACTGAAGAAGCTTTAGTATGCAGGCTCAAAATATACCTTCTAAAAGAATAAATATGCCAAAAAAACATGAACAAACATTCTAGTGTAATCTGTATCCTCAGCACACAGTCTATCACCATGGACAGAAATGTTATCACGCTTCCGTGTGCTCAGTAAAAAAACAGAAAATCATTTCTCTCATGGCACAGAACAGTATTTCTTTAAGGAATCCTCTTTTCAAATGTTTTAGAACCAAAACTTGTTGTCCTGTGGTATCATCTCTGAGTTTATATGAAGTATATAAAGAGGAATCTCAGCTGTAGCCATAGATTCCCAACAGTATACACACATATACATGCCAGACTGATGCCTCTGATCGCCGACTATTGTTCCTGCTTCCCCTTGGCGTCCGAAAGCAAACTCAGAGGGGAACCCAAAATCTGATAAATGTTTCGACTTCGCTTCACTGACACGAACAGCAGAAACCTGCTCTCCCTCCAGCGTGAGAATTCCTTATGTTTTCATTGTTATGAGCGAGAACTGATAGCATCTAAATGTGTGAACATGAGGTGGGAGGTCTGGTTTGTGTGCGTGTGTGTGTGTGTGCGAGCGTATGTGTGTGAAGGGTCAGGGTGTGGCATCATGTACATGCGGCAAGTTAAAAATCACGACAGACCAAAGTTGTAAAATACCTTTTTTTTTTTTATTTCACATAAGAATTTCACATTATTTTTTTTTTTTTATCAAACGTTTCTCTTTTCTTATATAATCCTCTATATATACATAATATACACTTTACATAATACGTACAAAATACAGGTAAGATCTGAGGAAAAAAATGATAGGAACAACTCACTGTTAGTCATGTACACCTGCGTCAGTCGTACAAACAATCGTTCAGAACTTCGCTACAACAGCTACACTGGATGCTGTGTTGTCAGTTTGAGTGTGTAGTGGTTTTGTTTTGTAGTGGAGGAGTGTGTGTGTGATTTGTGTATATTTATATACACAAGTGTTATTGTCATAGGTTTTTGCTATGCAAATATATTTGTAGACTGCAAGTTAGTAGTTTGGTCCTATTAAAACTGTTCAAAGATGGAAGAAGTAGGTTTTGGTTCACTTTAAATGTTAGCCAAACTTGGCAGGCCAGCGTACCACCAGTCTCACAGGGCCAGACGTGATTTCGTAATGAGAATACACTCCTGGGGACAACTTAACTTCTGGTGCTAGACTCTGATTTCACCACTAAGACTATGAGTAAACCCAAAAGCTTAATATATCTGTCCAAACCTATCGGGACCCGACTGCTCACATCTTCTTTTCTAAAAAATATGGTGGGCTCAGCTTGGTTCAAATTTTACATTTGGGCTCTCAGCCTTCTTTTAAGAGATTTCACCCCCAGCTTAAATTTTACTCCTTACCTTATTCTTCTTTCCTACTTTCATTACCTTACAACTGTTTTTAATCTGGTATGCTGGAGTCAGCCACTTGCGTTGCTGACAGAATTGAGCAGCTCAAAGTGAGAACTGCGGTTTATTGAAAGGTCAGACTAAAAAAGTGTTCGAAATGTTGCTCAAAAACACTGCTCGATTAATAAATTTGTATTTTTTTTCATTTGTCTAAGACCTAAAGGCAGCTGCTGTTCTCATTACATTGTATTTTAACCAGCATTATCATTAGAAACATCTTTTTTTGGGGGATTTTTGGGTGATGATGGGCCGGTTTGGGTCAGTTTCTGGTTTTACTCAAAATGCAATTGCGTGTTGGGTTGGACTGTTTTTGGATATGGATTAAAATGTTCACCCAAATAAGCTTTAGTATGCTCTAAAATTTGCCCAAACTCCTGTAGTCTGTGCTCTGGAGCACACAAGCAAAACAAACTAGCTGGCAAAATGCTATCATCATCTTTGCCTTACAATATGTGACTTTTTTTACCACATGTAATGTGTTTTCTGCTCACACAGCACACATCAACATGCTCAACTGGACTTTTCAGCCACGCTAATTTACATTACATCCATGGGCTAATGACAGGCTTGCTGTCCACTGGACAATGTTGACAAGCGCACCATCATCCTGTTTTGAGCTCTGCCTTCACAAAGTTGTTCTAACCCTAATAAGCCTGTTTCCACCCAGATTTAGCCCAAAATTTCTCAAGTTGTCCCCATACGTTCTCTTTATGAGATAACATCTGGCCTCATCATGCTCCTCCTCTAATGTACAATCTGGGAATACTGTGTCTATTTGGCTGATTAACATGAATTCTTCCTTTTCCCTCTTGCTCTCCTTCTCTCACATACACACGCTCGTTCACTCTCTCAGGAAAACTCTCATTCACTCCTTTCTACCTCCTTCTGTTTCACACAGTAAACATTTTTCATCTTTTGTTCATTATATACAGCAATTTGTTCCGCAACACACTTCATAACTTATTAACGTTTTAAACAAAACATGTACAAAAGCGAGACGGGGTGTGTTGGTGAGTGGAGTGTGCTAGACTGTGTGTGTGTGTGTGTGTGTGTGTGTGTGTCTGCAGTGTCAGCATGTGTGTCTTGTGGCAATTGATTTAGTTCTGATAATGAACACTCCAGTCCAGTTGATCTGAAAAAAAACAAAAAACAAAAAAACAGACCCTGCTTCTCTGTTGCTACATGAAAAATCCCACTGGAATAACACAATAGACAATAACAAAAGGTTTGATCATTGTACACTTTAGAGAGAAGCTCAGTGGTCTTTGGCTCATGAGATCGTCGACCTAGTATCTACTACACTAAAGTTGTCTCTGGACAAAACTCCTGAACTCCTCTGCTGTTCCTCAGCTCACTGCTCCTCCAAGAACTGAGCACAAAGATTTGGGTTTGTCCAAAAGTTACACTTGGGTAATGTCTGAGAAAAGTTTTTTTTTTCCTTCACGAAAAGCATCCTTGCAGACAAAAACAAAAAACCCTTTTCCCCAGGATTGTAGAAAGGTAAGAGGGTTAACAAGCCCTCTTAGATCCAGTAAACTCTCTCAGTTTAGGCTGAATAGCTTTGGAGTGCTTCCGTTTTGCTTTCCCTAGTGGCCAGCACTGGGCTTTTTGAGAACTCCTCCTGTGTGTTTTTGGTTGACACAGGCCACCGTCGTTGTAGTCTTAGAGACAAGTCTATTGGGGTGTGTAGTCCTTTAAATGTTCTTACTGCAGGACCAGCAATAATAATACAGGCAGCAGTGTTGTGAGGATGGTCAAGGACGCTGTTGTGACCGCTGAGTTTGTTCGCACACTTTTCTGGACCTCGGGCAGGACCACTGGATCATCTGTGAGGGAGAGGGAACAGAGAGCTTAGCGCTTACTTGTATAAAGCATGAATAACTTTTAGTAGCAATTGTGATCCAGACAGTTTACACTAGTTTAAATTCTCTAACTAAAATGATAAAGAAACAACCTCAAGCAATGTTTGTCTTTCATGTTACAAGTAACATTTCTGACAAACCTTGCCGTAAGTTTGACTTTGGTGAACTTTAGCAAGTAAATTTCTGTCGCTAACCAGTAACATAACTGCTCTGGCAGTGTAAAGGTAAATATGTAAAACAGAAAAAAAAAAACAATTGTCTTAACACAATATATGATGTATCTATTTTTCTTGGCTGGCTATACATGAATACGGAAAAGAGATGCAGCATGGTATTGGGAGACTGGATTGGCAGCTGGTGAGTTAGCTAGTTGACTAAATGCACCAAAATGGAGGAATTATTATGAATAATACTTCAGTCCAGTCCAGCCTTGGTCATGCCAATTAGGTTTCATGGAACTTTCTTGAAAGTCTTTAGAGCTGTGTGGGCTACCTGTGTAGAATGCATGAATAAATGCACACCTGCTGGTAACCTGTTGGAGGTAGTATGAGCTCCTCCTCCACTTCCAGTCTTGGTTCCTTTGCCTGGTCCAACCCTAGCCTCTTGGGATCCTGAACAGAAGAGAAATAGAACGAATGAGCATAAAGCCTGGACACGACAATGCCACAGATCATAAATCTGCTTTTTAACCACCGGGTCAGCAGGGCGGCGATACTCACCATCATTAGCAACCACGTCCACCCTCAGCCTCAGACACTCCTGTCCATGGTGGTGCAGTGGTTTAGCTGTTGAAGACACAAAAGAAAAAGATAATATTGAAGGGAGGATGAAAGAGTGAGAGGAGGTGGAGACAATTAGCATTAATTAGAGGCTAAACTAATGGCCTTAGCCATCACATAGTAGATAATCTGGTTTCTTTAGCTAGCCAGAGGCTCAAGACTTGGCCATCTGGACCTGTGAACTGCCTGTCATACCATCTATTATAACCCTGTGTGGTCTAATCCCTAATTTCTCCTGAGCCTCTTTCACAAAGAGCCCTACAGCACACCTTAAAAAGCCAGCTGGGCATTAGCGATACCTTTCATAGTTCCACCAATCATCCAAAAGTGTATACGCCGAATTCATTTCCACTATACTATGCTATCTATTTATGTTACAGAGAGATAATAGGAACTGAAAACTGAGCCTTAAAGCTACTCTCTCACACTCCAGTCCACTTTCATGCAAAAGTCCAAGCCCTGTTTTTACAACTGCCCTAACTTAGCATGTGTGGCACACAGAGCAGCCAAAAAGACACGTAGTGGTTTCGTTGCCAGTTTTAGAGCCCAAGAGTGTAGACTTGCACGAAACGCAGGGGACCTATTCATTACTGACGTGCTGAAATGGCGTTCAAAGTTGACTCATGCACTCACTATTCCTCCTAGCACCTCGTGGTACCATAAATCTATAACTAGAGCGTCAAGGGTGTGGATTGCATTACTCAGTCATACACTCACAAGCACAGAACACAAGTCTTTAACAGTGTTCCACTTAAAAATGTGATTAAAGTAGCTTAACTGCTGTGCTTTTGACCAGTTTACAGTATTTCAGTATCATGTTTAGTAAATATTCATGTAATGTTTGTGTGACTTATCTGTTTTAGATATACAAATATATATTTTAGATATATCTAAAATAAATGTTGTAGGTTAATAAGCTTAGTTCCCTACAGTCTATTGATTTCAATGACCCACTTGGACATCTGAGGAACTCTATAACATATCATCGCTGTCTTAAGAGAACCTTTTAGCACTTTTTTAATACCACATCGGCTACCCTTTACAATGTGTGAACATTTTATGACAAATGGGCCAGTAGAAATGAATACATTCTTACAAATGAACAGACATGTTAGACATTAAGAACATTTATTTCCTTCGTCTATGAGGTTATTATCACGGTTATATGTACATATACATATATAGATATTTTCTTATGACAGCAACAACATCTAGCATACATTATATGTCCAAAATGTTACAAACACTTAAAGTAGGTGAATTCCCTAACTAGAAGTCTTTAGTTTTGGACATACTGTGTACAGTGGATGCATTTTCACCATACATAACACTATACTTACAGATGTAGTAGTAGCTCTCTCCCTGGCGGAACTCTTTGCCCAGGGTAAAAGGTGTGAAACGTTGGAACTTCTCTGAGAATTTCTCAGGTGCATGCGGAGCAAAGGGGTGGCCACACTCCCAGCGCATCTGGTCATAGGACTGTGGCCGGCAGGCCTCATAATCCTCACGCTCCACCATGTACAGCACATAACGCTCAGCATCTTGTGACAGCACCTCGCCAAGTGGGTAGTGGGGGCAGACAATGTCCAGATAATCATTCAGGCGCACCTCCACAGCGTAATTGTTCCACTGGAACCTGCAAAAGACAGACAGGTCAGGTTAAAACACTGATATCCTAAACACGGTACAACAAATAGAATCCAGTCCACATTTTTGTTCTGTTCCAGCTCCCAACACCTGATTAAGGTAATTGGCATCCTTGATTACCTGAGTCAGGTATGTATAAAACTGGAACAGAGGAGAAACATTAGACTGGGGTTTCCCAGGGACTGAGTTGTGAGCATCTAATGTATGATACTACAGCTTAATTGTATGTGATTAACTTTTACAGAACAGAATAGAACAGAATAGAATAAAAGGTATGTAAACAAACATGTGAGATGCACTGATCCAAGTCCTCTCCTGATATTGATCTTGGTATGTGAACTCACATCTAAGGCACTCATTTCGTAGTACATAAACATAAACATATAGCGCAGGCTAATAAGCTGTTGTGCAGAAGGTTGTACACCAAATACCTTTTTAGGACTGTGTTTCCTTTTGTGTCACTGCCAAGAAACAGTAACAAATGCATCTGACTGAAAGTCAATCTATTTAATAAGGTGTTAGAATCTGCATTTTGGGCTTATGGTGGATCAAATACTTTCCATAAAGTACCTCTAATAGCCTCATCAACCATTAAGCCTGAGGTGCAGTCTGTTTCCTCCAGTATCTACAAATAAACTAGATTTTCACCAGTCTATGAGCGATCTGCATTTATTACAAAGCTCATGAGAAACTGTGGTCTAACAAGTTTCAGTAATAATCCAGTACATCAGAGCAATGCATCACTAACAAATACCATTTCAACAGAACAATAGTCCACTTAGATCATTACTCTACAATGAAAGAACTGTAACAACAAAACACAACCTACAATTTCCACCATCTGAAACAATAAATCATATAGACTAATGCGAGAGACTACAGAGAAGAGAAATGAAACACTACAGTTTCAAAGGCGCCTAATAATGTAATGACAATGGTCAAAATGTGTTTCTGACAGGTGGAATGAGTAAGACAGTGAAAGAAATTACAGGTCACTGAAAACACCGTCTGAAAGCACAGCCACAGCCGTCGCATCACGACTACTGTCTGTCATCTAGCCTGAATGCTGAGTGCAGTGCAATCACGACTGCAATCGCCCCCCATCGATTGGAAATGTGTGCTCAAGGAGCAGTGGGAAATCAGCGAGGGCCAGAGAGAGGGAACAATGGCGAGACGGGGGAGGAAAGTCCAGCTCTTTAAAAAAAGAAAGATTGATGTGGTGGATGTATGAATATACGGAGAGCAGAAGAGAGTGTATGAATATTCATCGCTGATATTGAACTGCTGATTGGAGGATTACAATGCGGGGTTGGGCAGCGGGGGCAAGACAAAGGAAACTTTGAGTGTGTGCGTGCGTTTAAATGTGTGTTGTCATTGATCTTACACCCCAAAGGAGAACTGGGTGTTGTTTGCTTCAAGATATTAGAATGCTGTCAGGATCCCATGCAGGGTGATTGACTATTGATGTCTGCATCTTCAGCCACTGGGAACTGGCCCCCATAAAACACACACAAGTGTGAGTTATTGAGGAGAATGTATAATTGAATATGATAGTGGGCGATATGGTGAAAATGCAGCATCACGATACAAGAGGACAATAGCACAATTACAATGATGGACCATATTGAGAACAAACATCTCCAAGCAATAAGACTATTTTGTTCATGTTCTGTGTGTACAAAATTATAGAGAAAGATATAGTGGTTGGCGCCGGTATTTAATCGATACTGGGGTACAACGAGCCAAATTTAGACCCAGTCATGATATTTATGTCATCTTAATTTGGTTAGTAAAGAGTGGTAAACTTCAGAACTTTAGAACATTCAGTGAACTTTCAGTAGCCCATCCTTATATATATTCTCATCATTTCATCATTTTGTAGTTTTTTTCACATAATCATGAACGTATAATAGTCGTCAGCCTCTTAGTTTAAACAAAACATTGCATAGGGTATGTTTACAGTTTCAGGCCATTTACATCATATATATGCTAATGCCTAGCCTCACCTGTAGTTCCATGGTTCATACAAGGAACACTTTTTAATATCTTTGCGCATTAATACAGGATTCAGCTGACACGCGTGCATGAGCGTCAAGTATTTTTATCAAGGTAGTCTTTATCATGGCTCAGCCAATCAGATTTTAAAACTAGAACTATCTGTGCAATGACTGATATTTTGATTCGCCGTGTCCTTCATTTTGCCAGTTTATGTAAATCTCCCACTAGTGACAACTGGTTACTGGCCAAAAGAATCTTCCAAAATTTGCATCCGTGTTTCCGAAGGTGAGGAACAAGTCATAATGGACCAAATGTTGTATGCAAAGCTACACATTGTTTGTTGTTGTTTATGCGCTGTTTAGCCAGTTGGTCTAAATCGGTGCTCTTTATGATGCATGTAGTTATTTAGTGCTCTAGACATATCCAAGATATACTCAGAAAAGCATCTCTCACACACATTTAGAAAAGTAATTTATTACGATAATGATACCATATCGCCATATTTACTACCCCTAATTGAAATGATGCAAAGGAAAAACGTGCTCATCCTAGGAATGGCATGCGCAAAACGGGGAAATAAATCTGTTCTGTCTACAAACTTTGACACACTCCCCTCTCTCATTACACACACACACACACACACACACACACACACACACACACACCCTGTCTGTGCCACACTCCCCCTTTCATTTGACATCCACTGAGGGAGGGAGCAGAGACAGTCTGACTGTCTGCCTCTTCTCCCTTGTTTCACTCCTCCTTCAGCTTTTCTAACTCTACTGGCTCACTGCTATCTCTCCTTTTGCCTGCCCTACTGACACAAACCTGCATGCCAGAAAGAGAGAAAGAATTCAAGTTTGTGCGTTGGTGATTAAAGCCCCAAGCAAGAATCACTGCAGCTGTAGGCCAAATAGTTTAGCACTGCAACAACAGAGTCTTTTAAACAACAAGTGAGGAATACTACACTGCAGACGATCATTAACGTAGCCCTCGGTGACCTCTCCGCTTTATCATTTCTCGGCAGCTTTCCAATAGTGATGCAGTGTTTGCTCAGTGTAGCAAATGGCCCGATTGTTTCCTTGTATTTGATCAAGCTGTTTTTCTACCGTTGTGGGCAATTTTCAACTTATGCCCGCTATACCTCTTTAACCACCAGAGACTTTTATAGTTAGCACAGTTAACTATGAACTAGGGCTGTCACTAGTGATTAGATGAGAAATCAAGCAATTTACTGTTTTTGTTTGAATAAAAAAAATGCCCATTCAGGCATAGCCTTTCAAAGATTTCAAAATACTTTTTAGGAGAAAGCTAAAATTGGATTGTCTTTTGGAAGAAAACAAAAAAAAAAAAGTAAAAATAATCATTTAATGTGCTTTCAGGCTCCGTTTCTTACTGCAAGGGAGCAGAAGGACTTTTAAAACACGCATTATCATACAAATTGTGAAGTCATAACTGCAGATTCATCAAATCAATGATTTTTTAAAAACAAGAAATCCTGGCAGCCCTACAGTGAACAGCAACTAGTATCCACCAATTAGCATTAAGTCATTTACATTCACTTTCACTAACTTATCAATTTAAGCATCTTTTATATTTCCCGTTTATTTAGTGCTACATAGTGCTTTTGTTGTTTTTACAACTAAAGTTTACATCTTCAGTTATTAAACTGAACATATTAAACATAGTAAGCCACCTTTACAGTCATGGTACTGTTTCAGCAATTTCCTCACCACTGCTTTCAAACTGGACAGCCCCCTAAAACTTTCCCTTTCATCTGGTAGTAGCTCTGTGCAAAACTCATTCATCCATCCATCCATCATCAGGCCCAGCAGTAGCTGCCAGCTGGGCCCCTCCAGTTAGTCTCTCATTGATGTGGATCAGGCTTTTCCTTTTGGCCTCACACTGTGCCCGATTGTGGATCCGTACACAATTTCACTAGGAGCTCTGAATAATAAACTAATACATTGTTTGTCAACTGGTATCACAACATCAGCCTCAGCAAGACTGATACTTCAGATGTCTGCAGTATGTAGATGATCCATTAACGAATCACTGACTGTTTTACTGCATGCTGTGCACATAGTGACCAATTACAGATGTTTTTGGGTGTCTGGATATTCCAATAAAACAAGTAAAGAGATGTTTTTAAAGAGATCGTTCCACCAAACTGATTCAAAGTCAGAGTTGACAACACATCTTGGACTTGAACTAGTTTCTTATTGCAGAGTGCCTCTATGACTTAATATTCATTTTATTAAAATAAATGATAGCACCTTCCATTTTGCCACTAACAAAACAAACATAGCACTACTGAACCTTCATCAAATGTTTCAGTAGTGATTGTTTTGGTAGTGACAATATATTAGCTACTTTTGAATAACTCAAAACGATAGCCAGTACATGACTAGCAAACACAGCTTTGAAGTCACAATATTTTTCTTAACATTTTCTTAATTGCAGAAAATGTGTTTTAATAATGACAATTCTTAACGTTACACTAAGTAGCTAAAATAAGTCTCTATGGCCTAAAATTCTTTTTTTACTTAAAAATTGAGATGGACAGGCATCTCCCAATAGAAAGTATCCTATACATGATTATTTTGTATATTGATTGTATATCTCTATTAATGCCTTGGGTTTAATTAGATCATAATATAATCCTGGTAAAAATTTAGGGTATGGATCTAGGGTACCAAATTGTATTTTTATTGTTATTAATTTTTTTCACTGTGGGACAGCAGTTCAAACTAATTTGGCAGAATGGTCCACGTAGCAAAGTACACTGCAAGTATGTTATGTTACAATATAGTTGCGATAAAGTTGCAATTGTGCTGTCCTTTCTAATAAAGTCTCACTCTCTCTGTCCTGGGACAAAACGATTCAGTCTGTGTTTCTTAATAGCAGTGAAGAGTTTTGGATAAGGTTTTACAAGTAGAGTAATGGATCAGTACATACTGAAATATTTGTACCAAAAGCTTGATTGAGACT